GGCAACTTGTCACAGCCGGCTGAACCTTCTTAAAACCCTTGCTCATCTTCATGGGGAGCTGATCGTCGAACCCTCCTTCGCCTACATTCCACCCTTATTTTAATCGAAACTTGATTATGGTGACCAGATCTATTCAGCGGCATCTCCTGCTACTCTCTCTAGCCTCAACCCCATTCATCACCAAGGATTACGTTTATGCCTTGGTGCTTTTCGCTCTTCCCTTGTCGAGAGCCTCTATGCAGAAGCGAACGTTCCATCCTTATCCGATCGCCGTGATGCCCATTGCCTTCGCTACTATGTACGCTCTCATGATCTCCGCAATCCTTCCATTTATAGAATGGTCACTGATATTAGTAGACATTCTTTATTTGTTCGCCGCCCCTGTTTACTCCGTCCCTTCTCTCTTTGCCTTCATTCGCTCTTGTCTTCTCTTCAATTACCACCTTTCTATGTACATGTAGCATCTCACTTTTCCCTACCCCCCTGGGAAGTTCCAGCTGTTCGAGTCTGTTTCTTTCTCTCTCCCTTGCTCAAAAGCCCAACGTCTACGTCGCTTCCCGCCTCCTTTTTCTTGACCACTTTCACTCCCCATTCTTATGCCATTGCTGTGTTCACAGATGGCTCTAAGTCTTCTGAGGGCGTAGGATTCGCAGCTTTGTTTCCGGACAGCGTCGTACAAGGGCATTTACTATCTTCGGCTAGTATTTCACTGCTAAATTGTATGCCATCCTTACAGCACTATCCGTATTGCATCTATGCCGGGTGTCATCATTTGTGGTTGTCTCAGACTCCCTTAGTGCTTTACAGGCTATACAGAAATTGGATACACCTCACCCCTTAGTCCTCCGTATCCAACTTTGGCTACGCCGCATCTTTACCAAGCATAAAGATATTGTTTTTTGTTGGGTTCCCCCGGTCATGTTGACGTACAGGGCAATGAACAGGCAGACACTGCTGCGCGGACAGCAGTACATGACCTACCAGTTTCATGTAGAAGTATTCCATTTACGGACTATTTTGCTGGAATATCTTCCCACCTTCACACCCGTTGGCAACAACGTTGGTCTACTATGCTCGGCAACAAACTTCAATCTATTAAACCGAGTATAGGTTACTGGCCGTCTTATAACCAGTGTCGAGGTTGGGAGACTACTCTCTCCCGTCTTCGCATTGGCCATACTCGTCTTACTCATGGATATCTCATGGAGAGGCGCCCTGCTCCTCTCTGTGAGACTTGCCAAGTTCCATTATCAGTCAGCCACATTCTGCTGGACTGCCCACTTTATCAACGAGCACGCAGAATTTACCTCCGTCGTCGTCTTCGCTCCGCTGCTCTCTCTTTACCTTCCCTTCTCATCCAGACTCTCTCATTGACTTTTTGACAACAACTGACTGACTTCACAAATTCTGATACCTTCAGCCCTTTCTACTTCAATCCTTGCTCCCCTCTACCCCCTTTTTACTACCCCTCCCCCGCTTTTTTCGGAAACTACTGATCATCCCTCCCCCCCTTTCCTCCCATCCAATCCCCCTCCCTCCCCCCCTACCCTGCAGCGTTTGGTATACCCCCCCCTTGTGCTTAGCGCTTCTTTTTGATTATAATAATAATGTGGCATGGTTTTTTACCTGCCCCAACTTTTTGAATTTTTGCTTTTGGTCAATTTTAAAAACTGATCTCCCATTTTCCCCGACCATTGAAATCAGTCTTTTTAAAAATCATCCGGGGAGTGCTCTAATGTCCTCTTAGAATGAAGTGGCCGGCCTTTTTTTTAGGTTTTTCATCAGAAAAAGGGAAAAAAAAAGGGAGAAGAAAGGGAGAGAGAAAAGGAAAAAGGGAAAAGGAAAGGGGGAAAAGGGGAAAGAGAAGAGGAAGAGGGGGGGGGAGAGAGGGAAGAGAAAAAAAAAAGGGGAACAGAAAAAAAAAAGGGAACAGAAAAGACAAGAAAGACGGGACAGCCGACAGCCAGAGAGACAGAAGAGGGGGCTTGTCAATAAACTGGGGACCCTTTAAACCCCTTGTAAAAACCCTGTTTTTAAAAAAAAAAAAAAAAAGTGTGGACCTTTCGCCAAAGGGGGAGGTGGCCAGAAAGAAAGCTAGAAATCAGGCGGGTTGGGGCCCCAAAAACCCCTGGTGGCCCCTTTGGTTTAAAGGGACAGCCCAAGGGTTATCTCCTATGAACTTTTCCCAATCTAAATCACAGGATGGGACATTTCTACTGTATTTCCGGAAAAAGGGGGCCCTTTTTTCCCGAAACTTTGTTTCCAAAATGAAATTTTCCCGGGATCCAAAAAGGGACCGCCCTTTGGCTAGCTAAGCTGAGTAAAAAAGTCAGAGTATAAAACAAATTCCAGCCAAAAAATAAACCCAAAAAAACCAAACGTTTAAAGACCCGGGAAACGATCATGTCGGAGGATCCGGGCCTTCAAGGACCATAAAAATTGTTTTTAATAGCATTTGCTAAGGAAAAAAAGACAGGAAGGATAATGAGAACCTTTCAAAACTAGGGATGCCCAAACCCATGATGACACTCTTCAGGGGCGCTTGTTCTAATGTAGGGTGGAATATTGCTTTCACACTAACAGCACCTTTCAAGGGAGGGGAAAATTTCTGACCTTGGGAAAAGTACAGAGAAAACCTTTTCCCCGGCGCACAAAAACTGAGATAATACACCTCAATTACGGGAGCGCTTGAAGTTCCTGAACCTGTACTTTCCCCGGAAAAAAAAAGGGGTGGAAAATACATGATTAATACACTGGAAAAAACCTAGAGGGACTAGTACCAAACTTGCACACGAAAATCATTCTCTCCGAAAGCAAAAGACTCGGCAGACGATGCAACATCCCCCCAATGAAAAGCAGGGGTGTCACTAGCACGCTAAGAGACAACACAATAAGTGTCAGGGGCCCAAGACTGTTCAATTGCCTCCCAGCATACATAAGGGAGATTACCAATAGACCCCTGGCTGTCTTCAAGCAGGCACTGGACAGGCACCTAAAGTCGGTACCTGACCAGCTGGGCTGTGGCTCGTACGTCGGATTGCGTGCAGCCAGCAGTAACAGCCTGGTTGATCAGGCCCTGATCCACCATGAGACCTGGTCACAGACCGGGCCGCGGGGGCGTTGACCCCCGGAACTCTCTCCAGGTAAACTCCAGGTGACAATAAGGCAGGAGGAGGTGCATTTCCTTCTTAAATCGCTTGACCAAGAAAAGGCTGTGGACCCAGACAAGTTGAGCCCAAGATTTCTGACAAGATGTGCAGACCAGCTAGCAGCACCTTTAACTCGCATCTTTCAGCACTGCCTAGTACAGTGTAAATGGCCCTCTCTGTGCAAAGAGGCAAATGTAGTCCCTGTTCACAAAAAGAAGAGCAGAGCAAAAATCAGCAACTACAGACCAGTGTCACTCCTGTCAATCACTGGTAAGATCCTTGAGGCAATAATCTCAAGACAGTTTTTTTTGACTACCACTCACTACTTTGTGATCGTCAATATGGCTTCAGGAAAGGTTATTCTGCTGTTGATCTGCTGTTAAACCTCTCCACTAAATAGCACCAGTTACTTATTGTCCAAAATCACCTGTGTGGTAGCACTGGACATTGCTGGTTCTTTCGACCGAGTGTGGCACCAGGGCCTCTTGGCAAAACTGCAAGTACTAGGAATTGCAAGCTCTACGCTACGTCTCCTCAGTGATTACCTTCATGGCAGATCTCGAAGGGTAGTTCCCAGTGGTACAGAAACAGCAAGGCATCCTATTTGGCAAGTGTTCCACAAGGAAGCGTGCTGGAACCATTGTTATAGAATGTCTACTTCAATGACCTTCTTCATCTCATCCCAGAATCCCATGCAAATGCAGACAGATGTACTCTGACATTTACTTATAAGAACATAAGAACGAAGGAACACTGCAATAGGCCTGTTGGCCCATACTAGGCAGGTCCTACACAAATCCAACCCACTAACAGAAGAAATGCCAGCTGCTCTAAGCTACACCAGTCACCAGCTAAGAGCAACATCAGCTTAGGGAAACCGATGGCAAGTAACATTTGCACCTAAGAAAACACAAATAATGGTCTCTAGGCACCATGATAATAATGTTGGAGCAGTAGTAAGTATGAATGGGAGGGTGTTGGTATCTGGGGAAGAAGTTGAAATCCTTGGGGGGAAATTTGACTCCAAACTGACCATGAAGAACGACGTTACAAATCTTGCAAACAAGGCAGCCAGGAAGCTTACAGCACTTCGACATACCTCGCATCTGCTTGATAGTAGGGGTTGCAAGATTCTGTATGAGGCACAAGTACGCTCATACCTTGAGTATGCTCCACTTTCTTGGTTTCCCTGCCGCCCCCTCTCATCTGCCACTGCTTGACAGAGTAGAGAACAGAGCAAGACGTCTCATCTCTCGCCTGGCCCCATCCTAGATAGATCTGTAATATCAGCAGAGCCTTCAACATAGGAGGGATGTGGGTGGCCTTACTGTAATGTACAAGGCCAACTTTGTCAAAATACCACACTTGGCTCCTTTTCGAGAACAGCGAGAAACAAGCTTCTATTCCACAAGACGGGCAGAAAGCAGCAACTTCACTCTGAAGAACATCACTCAGAACATCACTTCATCTGAGATTTATACCCAGGATGACTCGAGTCTGGAACACATTCGTACAGCATTATGATGTCAACGAGATAAAGTCAGTTGAACAAATGAAAATGCTGGCCTATAAATGGCTCCAATTTCATCCTGTTCCTTACTTGTATGTTTCGTAACAGTAAAAATGCTTTCAAATGAGCTGATGTAGGTAACAGCTCATAGCTTGTCAATTAAGTTAGGAATCCTTAACTTGTAAATAGCTTGTCAAGAAAGCTAGGGATCCTAAAGCTAACCCTGTCATACACTGTGTAAAGATAGATAGATAGATAGAGAGAGAGAGAGAGAGAGAGAGAGAGAGTGAGAGAGTGAGTTAGAGATAGAGAGATTTATATATGGTCTTTCCTCTTTACAGGTCTAGCTCTGATGTGTCGCTCGGATATCCCTAAAACCCTGATGACCCAGAGAGTGGATGCGCCAGCTAGGCTGTCAGACTTCAGCTAAGCCGTCAGACGTCAGCTAAACTGCCAGACTTAAGCTAACAGCCTTGCACTGCATCTGCAGGGTCGGCTTCCTACTCCTCAACATTTATCGTGAATATTATAACAAAAAAGCTAAGTTTGCTGGTCATCAAATTAATCGTCAATGCGAGCTTCTAGATCCAACACGAGATACTGTCTCGAATAATGTGATCGGCCCAACGAGAACACACAGGAGTGGAACAGCTAGGGGAAGGTGCCACTCTATGACCCAGGGCCAGCCCCTAGCTCACCCCCTGACGGTACCAGCGTCGTTCACCTACTAGGGACAATGGTGTCTAGTTCTCCCTATAGCAGTGCCTTGCTACTGCAACTGCTTTTACTGCTTCTGGGAGTTCGGACACACGCAACGTTGCCTCTAGAGCCGGAGAATAGCCAGAGACGGATCCTTCCGCCCTTCTCTCCGTCCCTGGAGCTAGCCCGTGCTCTGGGGTCTTCCCCTGTAACCCCTCCCGGGGGAAAGGGGAGCCAAGCCCCCCTAGAGAACCCCAGGGGTGGATCTTCAAGGCTCAGCACTCCCCACATGGACGAACAGTCGCGTGAGGACCTACAAGCAGTCTCTGCAGACTCGGACACTCAAGATACTTACGACAGAGGCTTGATGTACGACAGGAGTCAAGACAATGATGATGACGGCGTGCCTCCCCGGGGTGAGCTGCCCCTGGGAGAGGAGGAGAGGGAAGGGGGCTGCCCTCCGTCCCTACCTCAGGGTTACATCGGCTGGCGCAAGGCTAGCAAAGTGGTCCGTGCGACACTCCCGCATCAGGTAAGTTACTTTATGCTAGAATACTTATAAATGATTTAGAAAACTGACTAATTGGTAATTTAGACACTTGGATTTTGAGGTAATCAATCCCTCAGCCTTGAGTCAATGTGTTCAGTCCATCAATCTTAATGGACTGAACACATCGACTTAAGGCTGAGGGACTGATTACCTCAAACCCTTCCTCGTCTTCCACCGTTCTTCTCCGTTTTGGACTGAAGAAGCCACTGGCTGGCAAAACGTTTCCATAATAAAGATTCCCAAATGTTGCCTCTGGTGGAATAACACAGACGAGGTTACTCTCCCAGTAGACTTCATGAAGCTTACCATGTATTAAATGTCCTTTCTGATAAACGTTGACCTCGAATCCAGGATGTTGACCCGCTGTTGGAGCGTTTGGCCATCTGACCGAGGCCTTCCGCTGGCTCCACCCTTTTCAAAATTATGATCATAGTTTTAACCATGGACAATACTTGCCATCCTTCACTCCATTTCATTATTGCCCTCAACATGTAAATCATGTTAATGGTGGTATCATCTTGCCTACACTTGTAACTTAATGATAACTTCATGGTAGGGATCGTATGTATTATATCGTGAAAAAAAATACCACAGTGAGAATAGGAAATAAGACCTGAGCGCTTTCGTGTTCTTGCACACATCTTCAGAGGAACAGATATATGTGTAAGCACATAAAAGCGTTTTGGTTGAATTTCCTATTTTCACTATGGTAGTTTTTACACATTTGCAATCATGTGTTTTATTATGATTTCTTCCATATATCATCTCATAATTTACATTCTTTTATTCACATCTTTCTAGATATTTACCCCAGTGTTTAATCTTCATTTACAAAAATACAGGAGTTTTGCATCACTTTCAGTGGCGTTAACGTTACAGAAATTTTACAGCGATTATGATACTGTTGAAGAAGTTACTGGAAGGTTAAGAAGGTTACAGAAAGGTCAGAGACGTTACAGAATGATTATAAGGTTGCAAAAGTTACAGAAAGTGTGCAACAGTGAATGCAAAGTTACAGAAAGGTGATGAAAGTTCCTGAAGTTAAAAGATGGTTACGAATATTACAGTAATGGTACAGGAAAGCTTAATTAAAGTTACAAGAAGGTAACGAGAGTTTCAGGAAAATTACAGTCTGGTTACCTACAATCTCGGAAAAGCTACAGGAAGGTCACGAAACTTTCAAGAAAGTTGCAGAAAGGTCAGGAAACATAAGGGAAAAGTTACGAAATCTACTGTACTGAATGTTCACCGAACTTTTCAAGGAAAAAGTTCCGTCAGAAATATAACACTTTAACATTCTTTTATAAAGAACAAGAGAAAACGGACTAGATGTACTCCGCGTCCCAGCGCGAGCCGAGGAAGGTATCCCCGTATTGTACATTACGGGGATACCTGTGCACACGATAGCAGTAGTGCACAGTGCGGCATAAGTATCAAATGCAGTTAAATCTTAACATTGAGAATTTGAAGCCAATCAGAAGAGACATTCATAGTTTAACATTTGAAAATTAAACTCTGTTTCTTTAATAATATTGCATATTAGGATCTACACAGGTCAAAATTAATTCATATCTCCCGCTAAGAAGCATCAGCACAATAACACTGACAAGGAGAAAGCCTGAGCTTGCTACCATCTGCAGCTCACAAGACTGCCATCCCCACGAGCCCCTTTGGGGCGAGGCAGATGGCAGACCAGAGGCCTAGCTTCTCCCTGCGAGCAGCGTGAGGGCGGTGACTGTGGCTAGGCCTGGGGACACATGGTCCCAAATGGGAGACTTAGGTCTCGAGACACTCCCCAGATAGGGAGCCAAGGCCGGGTCACCACTCTTGGAAAAGACCCGGGCCGGGAGAACACCGGCGAATAAAAACAAAAAAAATGACACAGCTAAAAAGTCACATTATCAAATTTCTCAATTTCTTCCATAAAAACAGACAAAGGCAAACTGGGACCAACACAGATTAAAGTCAGTCTAAATTGTTCTATAAGGAATAAACAAGCAAGTTATTGATTTTTAGGCTTCATGTACAGTCTAACATTTTTTTTTACAGTGATGCTGAGAACACACGACCTTACAGACACTCAAAAATTAAGAACATAAGAAGGAACGCTGCAACAGGCCTACTGACCCATGCGGGGCAGGTCCATGTCAACCCCCGGATTAGACCAATGGCCCACCCAGTCAGGTCACCTCCACTTAAGGAAGGAGCACGGCTTCTGGCCCAGTAGCACCAGCGAGTCAGGTCCAACTCGCACCAACCACACCCACTCATGTGTTTATCTAACCCATTTTTAAAATTACAAAACGTTTCAGCTTCTATAACGGTACTCGGGAGTTTGTTCCACTCATCCAGAACTCTTATTACCAAACCAGTGCTTTCCTATATCCTTCCTGAATCTGAATTTTTCCAGCTTAAAACCATTGCTGCGAGTCCTGTCTTGGCTAGATATTTTTAGCACGCTATTTACATCCCCTTTATTTATTCCTGTTTTCCATTTATACACCTCGATCACATCCCCCCTAATTCTACGCCTTTCGAGAGAGTGCAGATTTAGGGCACTCAGTCTATCCTCATAGGGAAGATTTCTGATACATGGGATCGTCTTTGTCATCCTCCTCTGTACGTTTTCCAGAGCATTTATATCCATTCTGTAATACGGTGACCAGAACTGTGCAGCATAATCTAAATGAGGACTACACTAGGATATATAGAGTTGAAGAACAACCAGAGGATTTCTATTATTTATGGTTCTTGATATGAAGCCAAGGATTCTGTTAGCTTTATTGCTAACGCTTATGCACTGTTGTCATGGTTTAAGGTTACTGCTGACCAGAACTCCTAAATCCTTTTCGCAATCAGTAGTATTAAGATCTGCAGTATTTAGTTTATATGTGGCATGGTTATTTAACTGTCCAACATTTAGAACTTTGCATTTGTCTATATTAAACTGCATCTGCCACTTCTCCGACCATTGCATCAGTCTATTCAAATCATCCTGGAGTGCTCTAATGTCCTCATTAGAATGAATTGGACGGCCTATTTTGGTGTCATCTGCAAATTTGCTTATGTCGCTATTTATTCCCTCATCTATGTCTTTTATGTATATTGTGAACAACAAGGGGCCCAACACTGACCCCTGTGGAACACCATTTGTGACATGCCCCCATTCTGATTTCTCCCCATTTATGCAAATTCTCTGGTGCCTATTTGTCAACCATGCCTCTACCCAAGAAAAAACTTTTCCTATTCCGTGTGCCTTAAGTTTCCTCAACAGCCTCTGATGTGGAACTCTATCGAAAGCCTTACTGAAGTCCATATACACAATATCATATTCAATACCATGATCTACCACCTCAAATATTTTAGTGAAAAAAGTTAGTAAATTCGTAAGACAAGAAAGCCGTGTTGAAATTCATTAATTAATTTATGCCTTTCAAGATGGCTACGAATTGCCTCGGCAATTATTGATTCCATAAATTTTCCCACTATGGAAGTAAGGCTTATTGGTCTATAGTTCGAAGCTAAGGACCTGTCACCTGCCTTGTAAATAGGTATTACATTTTCCATTTTCCACTTATCTGGCACTATGTCAATTTGTAGTGAAATGTTAAAAAGATTAGCCAAAGGGTTGCTAAGTTCCTTTTTACATTCCTTTAACACCCTTGCAAATAGTTCATCAGGACCTGGGGATTTGTTAGGTTTTAATTTCTCTATTTGTCTGAGGACCATGTGACTGGTTACCGCAATCGTACATAATTTGTTATTGTCCTGTTCTACATAATTTATTTCTGGAATTTCGCTAGTATCTCCCTGAGTGAAAACTGAGAGGAAGTAAGTATTGAAATTTTCACACATATCCTTATCACTGTCAGTGATCTGACCTGAGTTACTCTTAAGTGGGCCTATCTTGTCCCTAATTATACTTTTGTATACTTGAAAGAACCCTTTTGGGTTAGTCTTCGAGGCCCTTGCGACCTTAGCCTCATAATCCCTCTTCGCTTTTCTAATTCCTTTTTAATTTCTCTGTTCAACTGAATATATTGGTTTCTTAACTGCCCCTCTCCTCTTTTGATACGCCTATATATGCCTCTCTTTTGACCAATGAGATGTTATAATCTATTTTTCATCCATTTGGGATAATTTTTGTTAAATCTAATTTCCCTACTCGGAACAAAAGTTTTCTGGGCAGCTAGAACTATGCTCTGAAAAACGTCATATTGGCAACTAAGATTACCTCCCTGGCCCATAGTCAGGTCATCCCAATTTAGGCCACCCAGGTAATTTCTCAGTGCCATGAAATCGCCCAAGCGGAAGTCTGGGACAGAGACTTAATTGCAGTTATCTGGGTAATTCCATGATTTACTAAAACTAAGTGATTTGTGATCACTTTCCTCAAGCTCATCATTAACCTCAAGATTATTAATTAGTGAATCTTTGTTGGCAAGAACCAAGTCAAGTAGGTTGTTTTCTCTAGTTGATTTTGTCACAAACTGTTTTAAAAAGCAATCCTGAACTGTATCAAGAAAGCCACTAGACTTAAGATTTCCTGTCACATTGTTCCAATCAATTTGTCTAAAGGTAAAATCTCCCATTAACACATCGTTTTCATAAAAACCATACCACAGGTGGGGATAGAACCCGCGATCAGAGAGTCTCAAAACTTCAGACCGTCGCGTTAGCCACTGGACCAGCTAGCCACAATAAGATTCGTCCAACTTGGTATATTTCTACATTATAGGAAGGTTAGCATAGGGACCACTGTGACCACAAATGCAAGTTTTTACAGATGAATCTCCATCTAGCGTGGCCGTGACGAACTCTAGCTCAAGTGTGGTCACAGTGGTGCCTATGCTAACCTTCCTATGGTGTAGAAATATACCTAGTTGGACTAATCTTACTGTGTCTAGCTGGTCCAGTGGCTAACGCGACGGTCTGGAGTTTTGAGACTCTCTGATCGCGGGTTCTATCCCCGCCCGTTGTAT